TGATTAGATCGAACAAGAGTTCCCGATCGCATACATACATTGTAGCTCCTATTGCGTGCCTACATTTTGACGTCAACATCCGGGAAATCTGCCATGTGTTTGTCGAAAGAGAACTAGTTGTATTTGTATCGGTATATTTTGCTTCCGTATGATTCTTGTTGTTATTGGAAACCCAAAACTCGAAACAGTTGGTAATTTATTGTATTTAATTGTGCATGACGGTAAGGTGTAATTTCTGTTCGTAGAAAACCTGCCTTACAGTCAAATTTGGATATTTCCTCGATTCGATTATGGAAACATTTGTGGATTGTCATTGGAATCCCTGTTTATAAATGGTTGAGTTTTCGCTTTCGAGCATAATCTTAAAATACGTAATATACATACAATGATTTTTAACTTTATCTGAAGCGCTCATCATCACATTTCTGATCTTCTTTTAAAAACCTGTTGTCGTCATATGGTAAGTCATTATGCGACTCTTGGTTAACTGTAGGCTAGAAACAATCAGCCAATGGTATGAAGGACAATAATCTTAAAGCTAGCACATTACGAGCTTTGGTCAGCTCTATGACCTCATAATAAGCATGCAACGTCATGATGATAATTCCCAGAAATAACATGGAACGCAAGCTGACCTTTAATATTGTTCGATTTTATCCTTGAAACTGTGTCGGTGTTTCACTTGATTTCTTCTAAAACCATCTCAAGTTATCCTTGTAACAATTTTGTTCATTTGATATTCATGAGAAACTGTTAGTCCCGTAACATTTGTTAAAGGGACGTGTATCAAACTTAAGGGAGCCACGTCGTCCAAACTTTACCCCTTATGTGTCACCACTAGTTACTTTCCTATGTAAAATTACAAGCTTCTGGCATTCAATTGGTGTTTCACCTCTTTTTTCACTCGATCAAAACGTTCACTCTACGAAACCGCTTTCCTCGTTAGAGCTGTGAGCAGAGCAAAATAATTTGAGTTTATCCCTGAAACGCTCATTCAGCAGAGCATAAATATAGGGGTTGATGGCAGAGTTGAACATGAAGATGGTGTCAGAAACGACGTATGAGATTGAGCCAAATATGAAGATGTCAAAGTAGCTTAAGATGTAAATCAGCAATCCTGTGATCCAACAAGCTCCAAATATGGCACTGACAGTGATCACACTCAGTGTGACTCGCTTCCTCACCTTGAGGACTCCCTGCAAGACAAGAGGAAAGCAAAAACAAACTTAAAGGGCGGTGGCTTTTGGCCTGACAGGCTGTTGAACTCCTAGGAGATCCTCAGAATCAGAAACAAACTTTGCCAAACCTACCCAGTCGACATAATAACTCAACTGCTGTGATAGTAGGCCTTTCCCACTGCTTCTAGGATTATTTTTTGTCTCAAGGTATAAATCATATCCTGTTTTCCAATGATATTACAACACTAACTAGTTATTATTATTACCATTATTATTATTATTATTATTATCATAATTATCATTTGCCCACTAAAGAGTAGCATTGTATCGCACCAATGACTCTGATTAACTTGCTTTGAAAGGTCGCCGAGAAATCTAACATTTGATCATTTTAACCCAAAGTCCTACCTTTTGTTGATAGACGACTTCATTTTGCTCGTTTCGTTTGAACCACAAAATGTAAACAACTTTTGAATATACAGCAGTCATCACCAACAGAGGAATTAGAGCCAACAGTACCAGCCATATGGTGTCGTAGAGTGCACCCATCCACCGCTCGTGCCAGTTCCACTTACAGTTGCCAGTTGTTTTATCAAACGTTGAGACCAGGAAGATTGGTATGCTAAAAAGCGCTCCAATGATCCAACAGACGGGAATAATCACCTAAAATGTATCCCACAGAGGATATCTAACCCCACAGAGGGTTAGATACCTGCATACTCATTGTGAACAGGGTCTTTTCTCAACAAAAGACATAAGACAAATAAAAGGAACACGAACTAGAAATAAGACCTGTATTATTTTGTTGCGTGTGTGTTACAAATAATTCTGTTCACAAACCTTTACTTTCCGCGTGGTAAGTGTTACATTGCTACCAAAAGTACTTGTGACAGCGTAGAAGCGTTCAACTNGTTTCTCCGTAACTTTTCATTTATCGTTTGAAAATTTTGTTCCCATCATTTCTTTGGCTTATCATTTGTGTGCTAAACGCTGTATGATTTCCGGTACAACCATCCTACTCCATGCCAAAGAATTAGCTTTTTAAAAATATGAAAACGATCACAATTAAACTCCTAACAACAAGAGATAATTTTGACTTAAACTTCATAATTAACATCATAGATTTAACAAACCGACAGTGGTTTTGGGTGGTCTGTAGTTCTATCAACAACGATATTCGTCATCACACTGGTCAAAATACCGTGGGCTCGCGAGGCACAGCCGACTGAAACCGCGACAATTTATTTTTTTTAATTTCTCTCCATATCAATTTAAATAACCACACAGCTGAGTTTGCTTTCAAAATAATTGACCTAAGGAATGGTGTGGTAATAATTAAAAATTGGAAAACATTTTCAAGCTCCGAAAATTGCCCGCGAAATGAGGAAAACTTGTCAAGCAACAAAAATTTCTATATACTTGGATAATTGATGAATTGATATCTGAAGTCAAAGCGCAGGCGCATTAAGAGGAAGTGTTCAAAATATAATGCGAAATGATATTAAGCTAAAAAGGATAATCCAAACTTGCTGTTCATACATTTCCAAATTCGTTCTCGATAGGTTTTGAGTCTTGCCGCCATTGCTGCAGGCATTATGTTATGTTGGCAGTTCACAAATATTGGTCAGAGTACATAAACCTTCCAAAGCTTCTCGGGAAAAGCATGGTGGGGTTTTTAAACATGATGTGACCTCAATTTGAAACTTAACGGCAGCGTTTGAATAGCTCAATGAATGCGAGCACCTGGTATTTGAATCGAAATCAGCATTTAAATGCTTCATTCTTTCCGCTTCTAAACTTCCCACAGTCAAACAACTCCTAACTATTGGCTAAAAAGTCGTCCTGAGGGTCTGCGGCAATTTACAGGTCCGTAGATACTTTACCTGGCCCCTTTCGTGCTAAAAAGTATTCTCGTTGTGTTACAATTGAAGTTTAGATGTACTAAGTTGGTTGCTAGTTTGATTCTCTCGGCAGATTTTCAAACTGAACCCTTTATATCCAAACAAGGGATATTAAGTAGGCAATTTTTTCTATCGTCAATAAGTACTTACTTATTTTCGCTGACAGATAATGGTACCTTATGTATGAACCATCAAAATTATTCGTACAATTTCAAATTCTTACAAATCGAACAAAGCATGGTTGTTTCTTCAAGGCAAATAACTAACCAAATGCACTTTTCCCTTTTATATGTTCTATTTTAATTCTATTGTTCGGGAGCAGAGACGGAATATGATAGGCCCGAGGCTCTTTCCTTTGCCGCTCAGCTATTTAAGTAATTAAATGCAAATTAACTATAACAAACTGTTCGCATTTTCAACCTTTATTTTGAGTAAAAATCGTTCGGTTCGGGATTGACAAATGAAATAAGTGCAGTATGTAACTTAGATAAGTTACGATACTATCCTTTAGTTGTTTGAAGAAGTAATACCCCAGTATGGCGTGCCTTTCAGTCGATATTGAGACTATTTTGACATGTGATGCATTATCTAAACTTGTTATCTATATGGCCACATCAAACTTAGGATTTTTAATGGCCATTTACGTTCGCTTTTTATCAAAGGTTATTACTTGTTCATCTCTCGCTATAACTGAATCAACATACGTTTTGCTTCGTATCAAGCATTTGACAGTTTCATAAACACCGGGTGTTTTCTAGTATTCCCCACTTAGAACTCGGTTATTTCATTGAAAAAAATCCTTTTATCTTAGATGAAGGGCGAAATATAGTCTCAGAATCGCTTTAACGCAATTTCTTCCGAATCGATATCGCTGCAAATTATGGTAAAAAAAAATGGTCATGGTGATAGTATCGTAATAAGACCGTAATGGTAATAATGAAAAACATCACATCCATTAAGAGGATTTGAATAATGATTCATAGAGGGATAAATTCTCATGTAGTGCTAATATATCCTACCAAGACAGCTGATCTGCAAATTAGCAAATTATTCTTTCTGTCTTTTATACAAGCCAATTGAGCGGTAAAAAATGGGATAATTAGTTGACTAGCGTCGTCGAACTGTTTTTAACTGATAGCTGCCTAAATGTAGTTCCTTTAGAGACTTAAATTTTAGCATTTTCCGAACAGTTTGATATTTCGTTTTTCTTTGTTCTGTCTTGTTTTACTAATCATTTTAGTTTTTCGTTTTAATTGCGTTTTGTTTTGTTCTTTCTATTCCTTTTGTTTGTGTATCGATTCTTTTTTGTTATTTCATTCAAAAATTTTAGAAGTTATCAACTATGGGCCTTCTTAGCTTTATACGTCCTAGATTTAATACGTAGCCTCAAATGGGTACTAACAGTCGCGACCTAAGTAAGTTAACTGCAAGGCGTAGAGAATGGTTCACTTTCGTTACGTCTTTAGATGCCACAATATTTCCAGAGATTGGGATTTGTCTTTTCCCGGAGCATTCTAAGCTTCAGAAGTCAAGTATTCATGCTATATTTCTTCAACTTCTAAAGTCGCACGAATCTGTGTTTTAATCTGCATGAGTGAATGGTCAGAAACCAGCCATTCATTTATTTAAAAACCGTGACCGGTAATCGATCTCACGCAGATCACATAACCAGAGCGTTCCAAATATCGAGAAACAAAAAAATCCTTTACAGTTTTCGACAAAAAATAGCTTCATTCCAGCCTCAAATTACAAAATCGCCAAACTTTGTTTTTGTGATACATTAACTTGCTTCCCTTTTGTGCCAATTTCATGAATTCGTGCGATCTTGAAAGATCGTGTGCTCACAAGTTTGTTTTTTGCAGCTTGATGTTGCATAATAATCTCAGCTAACGACCTCTTCTCGATTGTTATCGATTTCTATATTACTTCAGTCATTTGAGTTTCGATTGATTCGTGAATATGAAAACTTCGGCGAGAGAAGAAGGAATTTCGTCCATAAGGTGTCGTTCACGGCGCTTACTTACGCAGCCATTTTGAATTCTTGTTTACCATTTCAAACCATGTGACCACATGCGGCCAATAGCAAATAAAACAGTCCATTTCCGAATTACAATAGGCCTCATTTCCTGAGCGAGTCCTGGTGCTCATACTTTCATATGATTAAAAGTGTTCATTCACATGGGCACCAGGCCTCGTTTTGAAAAAGAGGCCAAAGGTAATTCGGAGATGGCCTGTTATGCATGCCAATGCACAAATTTAAATTGGTTTGTAGATTGTATGATTTTATTATAACAGGTTCGCGACGTTTCGTAAACTTTTACACGCGTATATGAACGATGCCACGAAGTGTGGAATGACCCAGAAGTGTTAAATGGATACGAGTGAAGAAATAACTGAAGACGAAGAGGTGATATTGTGTTTCCACAATATAGCCTTCTTGGAGGATTGTTGGATGAGTCATTTATGTATACTTTTGGCAAGAGTTCCATATAACCCCCTACATTAATTATGCGTAGAGTGTTGCAAAGAAACATTTATATTTAGTCTTTATGAAATGAATGCATAATTAATGTAGGGGGTTATATGTAACTCTTTCCATACTATTTTTTTATTACGGAAAAGTTTTCGGTCTTCGAGCCGGCGAACACAGATTAAATGGCGCAAATTAACACATAGAG